TGTATTATTTAATGTTGTCTTGGATTTAATATCAAGAACAAGATCATCTTTTTGTTTATGAATAAAATTATAGAGTAATGATGCTTGTTTAGAATTTCCCATTATTGTTGTTAATTCATTTCCATTTAATTGACTTAATGCTCGTAAATTTTCAACATTATTCATTATTAATTTATAATTTTTAAATGTTACACCAGGCATACGAATTAAAAGATCCTGAAAAATTTTTTGTAAATAAAATTTTCTTAAGAAGAATTTTACATAAAACAAAAATTAACAATACTTGTACAACAGTATTATATCGTTCATCATCATCAAGTAATTCTGATTCAGCTGTTACTAACATAGCACTTTTTGTATCAGGTTCTTCTCGATCTCTCTAAAATCCAAAAAAGAAAATTTATAAAGATTTATTTTTTTTTGTTTTTGTTTTTACTTTAAGATCTTCAAATAATTCTGCACTAGCATAAGGTGATGGACACCATAAAACTCTTAATTTTGGAAAATGCATTGTTAGTAAAGCTAATTTTGATGTTAAATCATGTGAACTAAATTCTGATGAATTATATCTTTGTTTATTCTATTGAAAAAAGAAATAAGAAAAAAAAACAAACAAATTTTTGTTTTTTTTACAGCAAGATGAAATGCTTGTTTTTGATCAAATTCAATAAGTAACATTGGTCTTTTATAAAATCTTGTCATTTGTAAAGCTTGTTGATATAATCGACCATTATTTAATGAACCAATTAAATCCGAAACACTTTTTCTTTCAATACATATTTCAGGTGTTAATATATAATCTCCAACTTCAAGTGTAACTGGTTCTATATCAATACCACGTTTCCATAATAATGATGGAAGTTCACTTCGAAATTCACGTATATCAACAATAACCTTAAGAAAAATAAATATTTCATTGTTTTGAATATGAAAATTTATGTGAATACTTTTGGATGAATATTTGATATTGTTGTCATGGGAAATAAACCACCACGTCTTGTATCAGTTTGATCAATTGTAGAAGCTGCTCCAGTTCCATATGCTTGCTGATTAGCTGGAGTTACATCACGACTTAATAATGGATTATATTCATCACGTCCTTCACGTTCTTCGGGTATTACCATAGACTAAAAGTGCAATTTGATTATTAGAATAAAATATGTTTATATTAAATCATACAGCTTTTTCTCGAACAAGACTTTCAAAAGCTTCTTTTTCTTTTTTTACACTTAATAAATATCGTTGTTCTTCAATTGATTTTCCATAAAGAAGAAAATAAATACGTAATGGATGTTGAGGATTTGTTGCTTTGAAAACCTTTTGAAAAAAAAAAATTATCAAAAAAGAAAAATTCTAATTTTTCATTTTCTTTACTTCAAGTTGTCGAACAAATGTTAATGATGCATCATATAATATAACAAAACGTGGACGATATTTAAGTAAAATTTTTCCTAATACAAAATGATTATCAATATTTCCACTAAATGGATAAAGAATTGTTGTAGATGGACTTGTAGATCCATCATCATCTTCAATAACATAACCACCTTCAATCTAAAAATATTTTTCTATATCAAAAAAAAGAAAAGAAACTTTTAATTGATATCAATTTTACCCCTTCTATTTCAGGTTTATTATCAATATTGGAATTCTCATTTGATTCTTCTTCTTTTGTTTCCGTTGTTGTTCGTGTTTTCTTTCCTTTCTTTTCCTAAATAATTTAAAGATAATTTTAATACTCAATACATTCGATAATTCTGTAATATAGTTTTATAGAACAAAACATCCTGATATTTTCAGTTATATATTTGTTTTACTGCTTTTTTTTTTCTTCTTAATTATGTTAAATTTATTGAATATTAAAATTTTACCGTTGTTTTTTTTGTTTCACTTTCTTTAGTTGTTTCATTCGTTGTTGATGCATTAAGTGTTTGTTCTAATAAACGTTCGAGCATAACTCTTCCACCTAACAAAAGATACTAGGAAAAAATAATATATTAGATTAATTAGAAGATTTCAAATATAATTTAAAACCTGTTTCAATTGTGAACATGCTCGATCTTCTGCACATACAATTAATGTAATTGGAGGTCCTAATAATTTATTATCTTCATTATCTCGAATTTCTTGAAGTACATCAGAAACAAGTTTTAATTTAGGATTTTCTTCAAGTTTTAGTGGTTCATCATTTTCTTTTGTTTGTTGAATTTGTTTTTTAGCTGATTCACCAAATACTCGACATTTTGATGTCTAAACAAATATCTCATAAACAAAAGGTAACAATTTAAATGATCAGTAGGAAGATTGAAGAATCAACACTAGTATTATAAGTATTTAATTACAAAATGATCAGTTTATTATACATAAATTCGATTAGTGAAAAATATAGATTTTATCAATAGACATATTTTTTTCGATCCGTATAAAGTATAATTTAAATAAATAAAAACATAAACCTAGCGGAACTATCTTTGTTGGTGGTGTGGTAGTTAACAATATTTCAGATGACCAGTCAAACTAATGATATATTTGGATATTTAGTTATTAGATTTTTTTTTATTTGGAGTGCTCAAATAATTTGTTTTGATTTTCACTATGCCATCATTATGTAATTCTTGTATGCATTTTTTTTGCTTATATTTTCATCAATACTACGAAGTTTATCATCGTGTTTAGCTGTAATTTTATAAACAGTAACTTTATGACTGTTTACATAATACAGTAGATAAATACTTGTTCCACGATGAGATCTACGATATTTGGTTTAGTTAGATCTATAGTGGTGGATAAAAGTTTAGAGCAGTTGTATTTTTAAGGTTTCTTCTCAATGGTAATAACTAGCAAGAATCATTTGTACAGTTGAAAGGATTCATAAACTCGAAGAATTCAGCAAAACTGCTTGGACGAAAGTCTGTGTAAAACTAAAACCAACTTTCTAGCATTTCATTCGAAGCTTTTACGAAAAGAGTTTATTTGATAGAGCAAAATGAGACGTCTTAGATCTTTTCATCGATTTGTATTCAATTTACAGAAGACCCCAAAGTGGCAAACAAGGTAAAAGCATTGAAATTGTCAATAAAAGAAGACATTTTATTAAATAAAATCTTTTTAGCTCAATATTTTGATTTGAAGGTCTTTCATTTCTATTTATATTATAATTTTCATTCATAATCTTTTCATGTGATAGATCACTTTCATATTATGCAATTTGTGTCTCACGTGCATATTTTCTTATCTCGTTGACACTAATTTGAACTTCGAGAAAAAAATAGAAACAAAATGTACACACCTGTATCTCGTACAAATTATCTATACTTTCTAGTGCAAATGATGACGCAAAAAAAAACAAACAAACGTGACTGACACAATAACGTATTTCGATTTCTATATTTATCATTTGATTAGTAGATTATATTTATTAACCTTGAAATTTATTAATAAGTCCTAATTCATTATTAACTAACTATATAAGTTATTTACTAATTCTATTCTTATTTAAACTTACTAATCGAATATTTTATTTCTATAAATAAAACAAATGTTTCTTTTTTTTTTTGTTTGTCTTCAAAAAAAAGTATTTTATTTACCATTAATAATCTATCAGCAGCTGGTAAATAAAGCCAACTACCTGTTGAACCTTGTGATGAATGAATATTTTTTCCTCGTGAACCATATAATTTTTCATTAATAAAAACAGCTTGTACAGCATTATAAAATGTAACACAATCATATTGTGTTAAATAAAAAATAAATAATCGTAAAGTTTTTATATCATTTAATAATTGTTTTGTTCTTATACTAACTTGATTCCATATTGGTTGTAATTGTAAATGTATTAAACGTTCAAAAGAATTTAATATTGCTTGATCAATATTTAATATATCATTATCAATCCATGTTGTTGATGAACGAAGTTCTTGTAAACATGCATTTATTAATTCTATTATTGATACTTGAATATCTGTCATTAATAATGTTAATGGTACTTGTAATTCAATAACATCTGGTGAACAATTTTCAAATGTTGAACGTATTGTAATATGAAATCTTGGATATAAATAAACATGACGAAGAAATAAATTTTTCATAACACATTCTAATTGATTATAACCACGAGTAAAATCTAATGCTGAATCACTAAAACCTTTTATAAAACCTATTTTATTTTTATGACGATATAAACGAATAATAAATGATTCTGATGATGAATCAGTTATTCGATGTGCACGATAAATTAATAAACCAGTTATTAAATCAATTGGAATACGATCAGTTAATAAATCAACTGTTAAAATACTTAAAAGAAAAAATAAAATAATTTAATGCTTTTTTTTTTTTGTTTTTTTGTTTTAAATTAATAACCGTGCAGTAACAAAGAAAAGTCCACCTTGAATATAAAGTTCTTTTCGATCATTTATTGATATATCTGCAGTTATAATACGTGGTGGAGGATCAATACCATCATTGATAAGTTGTTCAATAAAATATGTTTGTTCAACATCACTACAACCCAATATAAAAACAAGATTATGTTCAGCACAATAGAGTTTCATTATTTCACAAAATATTCGTTCCAAACCAAGACCTCTAGATATTTTCAAATAGATCAAAATCATTATTTATTTTTATTTTGATCATGCTTACTTAGCTAATATAAGTAATCCATCTTCATGATATAATTGTAAAATAATTTCATTTTCATATTGAAGTATTCCATTATTATTTTGTAATTTTTCTTCAATATCCATAACTTTGTTTTCTTTTTCTGAAAAAATTTATTTTCATCGATATTTCCTAATAAGTGATTCTTTGATTTTTTTTTTGTTTATATTTTTCAAAGAAAAATACGAAAAAAAAAATGAAATTTATAACTGACATAGTGCTGATGCTTTTTTTTTGTTGAGATGCATGAAAATAATAATAATAATAATAATAACAAAAAGAAAAGTACTATCACGGAAAAAAAAAGAAACATAACAATAAAACAAGAATAGAGATTATTAAGTTCTATGTCGTTTGGCTTTCATAATTTTCGTTTTTATCTGAGTAACCATTGATTTAATTAATGTTTCATTATATGTTACTCGAATAAGTGTAAATAATTTTTCTTTACGTATTTCAATTATTGTATATTGTAGATTAGAAAGACCATCGACTGAACGCATTGCATTACTTAAACTTAAGATTTTGTATCTAATGATAAAAAAATAAATCAAATTTTGAGTCAAAATAAATAAATATTCTAAAAAACCTAGATTGATTTGGAGTATCTTGTTGATGTCGTAACATTTTATAACGAGCAATTGATGGTGGATAACGAGATATACGATATTTAGTAAGTATTCTAGCAGCCATATCTATGAAAACATTGTTTTTTTTCAGATATTTTATTTTTTTAATATAAAATTGATATGTCTTACCATCATCTTCACCACCCCATCCAAAATATTGATTTGAAAATCCATTAACAGATTTAAATTGTTCAACTGTTAAAGCTGAAACACCACCAAAAATTGTTCGATATGGAAGTCTAAATAGAATATATTGAAGTTTGTTTGTTTGTTTTTAGTTATTTTAATATTTACTAACTCATAATTTAATGTATTTACTGCTACTGACATATGACGTGGTTCAGGTGGACATGAATATATATTTCTATCATCTTCTGGTATTAAATCTACATCATGAAAAATAAAACATTGCCATGAATAATGTTTTAGTGTTTCATGAAAACCAATATTAAATAAAAGTGCTCGATTAAATGTTACATTAATTATCTTAAATTAAGAAAATAAATTATTATTAATTTTATTTTCATATATTTACTGGTTCAATAAGAAAAATTTGATAATCTAATTGTTGTTTTTGTAAAAATGGATGCATAAAATTAAGAAATATACGTAATTGCATATCACGATCACGATATGGAATAATAATTGCTACTCGATAACGAGATGTACAATGAGAAGGTGACCAATGACCACCAAGTTTTATACTTGAATTTTCATGATGTTTTTCAATTTCTTCCATTTCATATGAGAATAAATCGGCTTCGACACGACCAACTGAAAAAAAAAAACAATAAATTATTTTAAATTAAGTTTTCATTTTTTTTGTTTTTTTGAAATCTTTATTTCAAATTAATGAATATCATATGTATATATATCGCTGTCTAATTTCATTTAAGACAAAAAAAAATTACCTAAAGTCAATGGTAAAATTGAACATTGAACAATCATTTGTTGTTGATCAGTATCTTTTACAAATGAAATATTAAGTGATTTAAGTTTTTCATTAGTAGGTAAATTAATATCTTGTTGAAATTTTGAATTTCTATAATTATGTAATAATGATCGATCTGCTTTTTCAATTGAATCAGCTGGAAGATGATCCGATGTTAATAATTCAGTTGATTGATCATTTTTTCTCGCATCATTTGAAACATTATTTTGATAATGTACATATGTATATATTGAAAATAAAATAACGTGTATAAAACATATTAAAATTAATAATGAATGACGTTTCAAACGATTGTACATGATAAATAGAATAATTTTACTTGATTTAATAATGACAACATTCTACTATCAACATGATATATATATATTATATATCACAAAATATTATTTCATCTAATAAATAAAATCAAAAATTAAATTCTTATGAAAAAAAGAAAAAAGGTCTTTTTATTTTTCTTCTTTTTTATTTTCCTTTAATGAATATCAATCGACAAATAAACAGAGACAAACGATCACGCAAAGAGCACAGTATTGAACACCGTCAAAAGAAAATAATCCATACAGACAACTACAAGTATATATTTACATAGAGAAAAGAAAAAAGAAAAGTGTAGACAAATGTTAGAGATAATCAAAAAGAAAAGTTTTTATTTATCCATCTGCTTTTGGTGCTGTAAACCATCCACTTTTTTCATGTACGCTTGATATATGACGAAATGCTTGTTGTGCTCGTTGAAGTGAAAATGATTCGTTCAATGAACTTAAATCAATACGGGCACCTGCTTTACACAATGTTGCTACTATTTGAAAAAGTAATGATTCAACACTATATGCCGATGACCAACCTTGTCGTGTCAATAATTCCATACCTGAAATATTTTATTATATAATAGAAAAAAAACAAACAAACAAATACAATATATAGACTTACAAATTGCACCTGAATATACATGACCACCATTAATTATAGGTCTAATTACACGTACCTAAACAATAAGATTATTTTTAGAAGTTTTTTTTTGTTTTAGTATTTATGTAGTGTTTTACTTACAAATGGTGGTGCAAATGGATAATTATCATTAAATGATAAATTTAATAAAATATGATCGAGTTTATCCACATTTTTTTCCGATGCTTTCATTTGCTCAAGATCTGTATATAATTTGCTGTCTTTATCAACATGATATAACTAAAAAACAAAACAAAAAAACACAAGTTTTTTTTTTGTTAAAATTTTATTTGTAGAAAAGTCAAACGAAATTTTACTTTAACATTCCATTCATAAAGACTTTCATCTACAAGTTCAATAGTATAATCTCCATTTTTATATGATTGTGAACGAAATATATCTCTTAATTCTTTCATTAAACGATCAGTTGCTTGTACAGATGATGTTGGTGTTGACGATGATGATAAAGATGAAGCTCCATCTTTTTTTATTACTGGATTATTATTATTATTATTATTATTATTATTATTATTGCTACTAGCATAGATTTTTTCATGATTTTTTTGTGCTGATTCATTAATTCTTTTATATTTTAATTGTTCAAGTAATTGCCAATTTTCTAAAGATATTCCATCAATATCTTTAGTTAATTGTCCAGTTTGGTGAATTTTTTCATCATCATCAAGTGAACATTGATCATGTTCAGTATTATGTTGTTGTTCAATTTCATCATCATCATCTTCTTCTTCTTGATCAACACCAGAATCTTCAGGTTCTAAACGATTTATTGAATTTGTTATTATATGACTTGGTAATGATGAATTGGATGTATTAAAAAATGTATTTAAACGTTCAATTATAAATTCAAGTTGTAATGTTACACTACGTGTTTCATTTGATGAATTAGAATTTAATTCATCAAATATAGGTGTTAAATATTCTTGTACATCATCATTATTATCACTTTCTGTATACCATAAACATTTGTTTGGTACTTCAAGAATTTTACACTAAGAAAATTTTAAAAAAAAAGTTTTTTTTTTTTTATTTTATTTTACTGTTTTTCTAAATAATTAATTTATTTACACAAATCGATATTGATCGTTGATTAATAGGATCACGATAAATACTTGTTATATCATCAACACTTGAACTGATTATTGAAAATGGTGCATTTGATCGTTTAGGAAAACATTGTTCGAGTACACGTAATTCTTCTTTTAATGATTGTAGTGAGCGCATTATTCAGAGAAATCTAATAGAATACGATAGATATTTGATTGTTTTTTTTAAACATCGTCATTTACCTACGAATCAGGCGGCGGACGAAAGAACGAATAATGAACAAGTACGAAGGGAAGAAGAAAATCCCTAAATCGATGTCATTTATATACACAAAACGAAGAGAAAGAATGAATATTTTTTCATTGGAGAATTTGATTGATGCAATGAAATAAATCTTTAAAAGATTTTATCTTTTATTTTAAATTTTATTTTAAAATTTATAAAAATTTTATCTATTTAAAATATTTTCTTTTAATTTTGTTTACTTAAAGAAGGTTCTCATATAGAATATCATTGGTTAAAATAATAACCAATTAATAATTGATATGCACGCCTTTACTATCATATGCTTACGTCAGCTGGTTCGATCATTTTTGTGCAGATCAATTTTATGTTGTTTGTTATTGATCAAATAAACAGATAATATATAATAGATTTTTCAATATTTTTGCTTTAAAATTATTTAACTATAAAACATTTTCAGAACATTCCTACTGATAAGGTAATCGTTATCACATGACGCAACTGACAAAAATATTTTTAAAGATAATACGACAATTCACTGATATATATTTTTTTTTTATCAGTTGATGACGAAGATTTTTATTTTATATAAGTTCAGTTTTTTAGATTTCTGTATAAATATATATATATATATCCTCGGATGCCGTGGCAATCGTTTATCCCTTGGTCAAATTCCTTAAAAACACGTGCTTGCCGACAATTAATACATCATTATTTAGGTGTATTTTTTCAAGAAAAACTTTCACTTGATCAATTATCAATTGATCTTTTCTCCGGTCGTAGTCAAGTTAAAGATGTTATTTTAAATTTAAATGTAAATAAAAAAAAACAAAGAAAAAGAAAATCATTTTCATTTTTATTTTTATTCTAGGCCTTAAATGAATCATTAACAAATAATAATATTCCACTTGAAGTAGTTAAAGCATATGTTGGAGAAATAAATTTATCAATACCATGGACATCATTATTACGTGATAATTCGTTATTAGATATTAAAGATTTAGAAATAACTGTAAGACCAAAACAAACAAATGATCAAAGTAAAAATAAACTTGAAATTCTGTAACAAAAAAAAAACAAATTTTAAATATCTATTGTTTGTTTTTAAAGAATTAGCTGATGCTAGTTTTGAATTATCATCTATGTTTAATAGTATGAATACAAGTATGCTTATTGCACAAGAATGTTTAAAAAATGAAACTGAAGAAGATACGACATATCAAGGATTAGAAACATTTGCTGCAACTCTCGATTCAAGTAAAAAAAATTTTATATCTAGTCTTTGTTAACAATTTGGAATATAGATTTAACAAGAATAAGAATTATTTTCATCAGAGGATCTCTCGATAGTTCTTAGAAGTGGAATGAGCTAAAAATTTGACAGAGTAATCTGTCTATCTAGCAGAAAGTAACTAAGAAAAGCTGCCGTCTTAAACTTAGCAAATAGTTTTTCGACAATAGCTCAAAACTTTCCCAGACACGACACAAAATTGTTAAATAAGACATGTTCACAAGGCTAAAATCTATTCCTATATTAGACTAAGACCCATGGTAACAACCATGACTTTTACCAACTAATTTAAAATTTCATGGTCATACTTAGACTTTAATATATTGAACTTTGATTAGCAACATACATAGTTTAAGAAAAAGTGTTATGACAAAACAATAAACTAATTGACGAATAGTAATTATGATCGAAAAGTTTGATCACGCTAAGTATTATTCTAGATGGACATGAAAAGTTTATACATGTTAAGTAACGATGATTGACTACTAATAATCAAATTAACTATACTGAGAAAGATTTGAATGCGCATCGGAATGACCAGAATTCTGTTTTATTGTCATTTTCTAAATCGAATGTCATTGCCTTATTAAATAGCATTAACGAGTGTTACACTTAGAACTAATTTTTATTTTGTCTTTCGATAAAGATTTACAATTTTGAGAATTCTATTATTGTATATTTTAAATAGTATTAAGATAACAAACTATAGAAATATATTCTCTGTAAAATGCAAATGACTATGTTAGAGGAAAATTAAATATTTTCATAATTATTAATTTCTTCATTATTTCATTTAGATTACAAAAATCTTATTTTTTTTTATCTATTTTAGTTCTTGCTCGTGTTCGAGTAACACTTACAGATACTGTTATTCGATTAGAACATTTAATCAATAATGATGATCATGGTGTTGCATTTGAAATTCGTATAAAAAAGTAAATTAATACATTTCTCTCAATTGAAAATATTTTTTTTTGTTTTAGATTCGAATATTTTGACAGTGAAGCAACAAGTATTGATATGACAGTACCACGTGATTCGAATTTAATACGTCCAACTGTATTTACAAATAAAAATTTTGTTTTAAGTGGTGTTACACTTTATACAGATGAATTTTCTATATTTAAAAATTCTTCGAGTATGATTGATTCATCTGAACTTAGTTTATCGAATCGTTTAATAGCAGTAAGAAATCAAAATTTAATTTATTAAAAGCAAGAAAAACAAAAAAAAATTTCTCGTCTATTTAGGATAGTATGATGTCAAGTGTATTAACGAATAGTTCATCAGGAATGATGACAACAACCGGTGGAAATACTCGAATGGTTGGATATGAAAGTTTTGATCCAGTTTTATGTTTAACTATTTCGGGTAAACAAGATATTCGTCTTAAATTGAAACAATCAGAACAAATATTTGGACCAAAAGTAAAACAAAAAAGAATTAATTTAATTTAATTTAATCTTTTTTTTTTAATTAGGTTGAAATTGAAGCACATTGTGGTTCAGTTAATTGTTTATTAACACCAAAACAATTACAATCATTAATTATTCTTCTTACAGCATATCAAAAAGCTGGTAAAAAAAGAACAACCAATTTTCTTAATGGAAGGCTCGATATTTTTTCGGAGTTTCTGGAAAAAAGCTCATCAGAAATTTTGAAAACATTCAGATGAGATCAATTTTGATGATAAAGGCAAAAGTTATTGTAGATTTAGAATTCTCAGATATTTATCAGTAAAAGATTCCGATGAGCTCAAAATGCCTCTACTTCAGCGTTTTATCCAGTGTGTTAGAATCGAATCCCTCTGAAGATCGAGTTGGTGTGTCTCGGAATTTGTGGTTATTCTACTATGTGTTTGTACTCTGAAAAATATGTGTTCGCCCTTCCAGAAGAGGAAATTTGAATAAAGTACTATCTTCTGTAGTTTTAAATAAAGACTTAATCTTGTTCTTATTTTGTATAGCACTACATTCAACAAGTGATCCGACTTTATATAATTCATCTACTGCAAATAATCGTCCGATGACTGAAGATGATTATAAACGTATTGAACAAAATGCAGCAGAAGAAATTCGAAAAAAAAATTGTCAATTTACTGCACAACAATATGATAATGATAATTATCATTATTCTGATGTTGATAATACAGCTGGTATGAAAAATAAAAAAAAAAAAAGAAAGAAATATTTCATTTTTTTAGATCCAAGTGAATCAATGTTTTGTTCCGTAGAAGGAATGTCAACAAGTATTGATCTCGTATCATCATATACAAGTAGTCGACCTGATTCAGCTTCAATTTCAAGTAGAATTTATTTTTATAATCAATTTTAAATTCGATTCGATTTTTTTTTTCTTAAGGTCATCCTCGTCGTCGATCATCACCTCATCATCATTCATCATCAAATCAACCGGTAATTGATAAAGCACATTTAAAAGGTAAACAAAGTGTTTTTTTGTTGTTTTCAAAAATTAAAATTAAAATTTTCTATAGAATCAGCAAAACGTTTATTTGAACAAGGTCGATCAATAATAAGTACAAAATGTCGTCTACAATTTAATTTTATTTCATTATGTTTACTTCATCGTGATATTCAAACAAATTCAACATCACTTAGAGAATATTCTGATATTTATTTTTCAAATATATCAACAATAAATACATCAGGAATACTTGATGATAGACAAATAAATGAATATCGATTAAAATATTCACAAGCTTGTTTAAAAGATCATCTTTTGTATGTTTTAAATTTATTTTCATTTTTGTAAAAAAAAAAAAAAACAATAAAATCATAAATATTTAGACTTATTGGAAAACCATTAATTATTGATTTTATTCAACAATCAGCAGAAAATTGTCTTTGTTTGGATTTGGATATACGTTTTAGTTCAGTTGATTTATGTGAATGTTTACAACCAGAAAATACAAATATACAACCAAGTACAACTAATGAAACAAATCAAATGATATTTAATCGGGTCAGTATCAAAAATAACAAATTTTTTCAATTAATATATTAATATTCATTAAAGGCGATTTTTTCTTTTTTTAAAAAGCTTCCTAATAGAAACTTTAAATGTTATATTCTAAAGAAAGAGTCTTCCCTAATTGAAGAGATTGTGCTTGTAAAGAAATTGAACTCAAGATATATATATATATGTATAATTGATCTGAATTTTAAACAAAAAATTATTTTATTTTAATAGTTATTATCATTTATTCGTCCGAGTGAAACAAATTTTGATTCTTTTTCATCATTTCAAGTTCCGTATAATAGCATTCAATCATCTGTTCAAATTTCTATAACAAATTTTGATATTAATCAAACAAAAGTATGAAAAATAAAAAGTTTCATTTTTTGAAAAATTTAACTTTTTTTGTTATTATAGAAAAAAAAATCTTCCAATGCTTTTAATCGTAGTCTTGCAGCATTAAGACCATTTAGTGATATTAATATTCGTCTAGGATCATGTCAAATTGATTTTGATATATCAATTATTGATCGAATTTATTCAATTATAAATGCTTGTCAAGTAAATGTAAATAAAACTTTTATTATATTTTCAAAAACAAAAAAATAAATATTCATTTACTCATTTTATTTTTCAGAATTCTTCAACGACAAATAAAAGTTCCAATAATTCACTTTCAATGTTAGCAGTTAGTTCTCCTGGATGTATTCTCAATTTACGGTAAAACAAAACAAAAAAAAAAGAATTTCTATTGGAATTTATCATTTCGTTTCTTTTTTTTAGATTTCCAATAGCTGATTTACAACCATTAAATAAACGTCGACCATGGTGGATTCAAGGTGTACATAAAGAAATTTTAATATTAGATTTCAAACAAATTCATTTTCAATCAAATTTTAATAATGATGAATCAACAGCATTAACAATAACTAGTGAATCAATTCAAGGTAAATTATTTTTTATAAAAATTTTATTGTAAAATTTTTTCTCTCTTTTATATATTTAGTTTATTATATGACTAATATAAATTCTGAACGATCACATATTGGACAATTATCATCAAGTAATGGTGAAGTAATTAAGTAAGACAAAAAAAAAAAAAAAAGTTATTTTCATTTCAATATCATTTTCTTTTTTTTCAATATATAGAATGATTATTAATTTAAATAATTTAAAAGATCTATTAATAAATCAATTAAATCCATCAATGACAGATACATTATTTGATTCAATTTTTTGTCGTTTACCAACAAATGATAATAAATTACCATTAAAACATAAAAATACATTAAATGATAATCGTCAAATACTTGAAGTTGCTGATACAAATACAATAAATGAATTTATATCATCATGTAGTCAAGAAACAAAATTAAATTTACATATTATTATTCCATATATATTACTTTATGTATCTGATCAAGTATTTCTTGAAACAATTTATAATCGGTAAAGAATTTTTGTTTTTTTTTTTCGTTTAATTTGAAAATGTCTTTTCTTTAGTTTTGTAAATAATTTATTTATGTGGGAAAGTTCAGTACCTATGAATAGTGACAGTTCAAATCAAATGTTTCTAACAGCAAATAATTTAAATCGACGATTAATTAATTCATATGGAAATACATCGTCTGAACAAATTAATGATCAAGCATTTCAATTATGTCGATCAATGAATAAACATTTTACAACTCATTCATCCGACGATGATGATGATCAAATTTTTTCCGATGAAGATGATGATAATGAAGGACAAATAACACCAAAATTATCAAAGAAAAAAGGACCACATGAATTTGTAATACAACTGAATGTACACAATATTCATCTTGCTCTTAATGCACCTTTGGTAAGAAAAAGAAAATGGATATTGAAGTTACTTGAAATAGGCTTAATAATTAAAAGTTGACCGATTGAAAATAGGATAATGTAACGTGAAATTTTCGCTATATATTTCAAAGTCAAAATAATCTTTCCTTGTTTTGGTTTTTAGAACATGATTTAGGCTTCATGATATTTGGAAATTATCTATTTGGAGATGAGGATGTAGTTCTACAGTCTTGTTGTAAAAAATTCTCGAATACACAAGAATGAATCTCCAAATTTTTGATTCGATTTGAACTAAACTTTATAGATCTGATAGGTATATCTACTGGCTAAGCTCGCGTTTTATATTATACTGATGTAAAAATTCTAATATTAAAAGCTTAACTATTGACGATACTTCAAATATATATACGAAGTTTAATTCGAATTTTGAAGATCCATTCTTAAAGTGTTGCAAAATTTTTCTTGAAGGAGCTTTACCAATCATTTTCATCTACGAAAATTCTTTATTCAAATGCCTATTTGAATTCTTCTTAGCGTTTATAATAGCGAGAAAATAAAAGATTGACAATAAACCTCGTCGAATAATTTTAGGAACTATTGTACATAGTAAATCAATTGTAAATTCTTTGATTATGAATAATTCCGTTGAATGCTGTATGTTTTGTTTCATACCTTCGAATAGTTTTTTTTTCAAATTTTCTATTAAAACACGAAAGATAAAATTTTTCTAAAGTTTCGTTATTTTTTTTCAAAAATGATTTATTTGTATAGGGTGAGAAAAATTCAAAAGAATCTCGTACAACTACTTCCAATATTGGTGAATTTCGAATTGATGGACAAGGTTTAACACTTGCATTTGTTAATGGTTATCAAGGTGATGAAAATCTTGAATATTTTTGTTTATTAAGTCAATCAGTATCACTTCAACATAATGGTAACAAAAAAATAAAAAATAAATAAATAGATTTATTTTTGATGAATGTTTTTTTTTTTTATTTTCTTCAAATAAAGGACATGGAACAGTAATGAAACCAAATATATCTTTAAATGAAGTTATTAGTCGATCATTACCAGAATTAATAACACGTTGTCCATCAGATGCATTTTCAAAATATAATAATAATGCAACAATGATTCGTTCGGCTTATGAAATTCGTACAACTGGTAATCGATTGGATGGTAAACAAAAAATAATTCGTGGTTCATTTACAATTGAAGGTGCTATGTTACATCAAAAAATTGTACCAAAATCTGAAAGTTGGCTTTTACAAGTAAGAAAAATTAACGAAAGAACGGATGACAATTTTTCACATGTTACCTTTACTTGTAAAAGTTTTTATTGAGATATTTGTTGTACACCATTAAAATATGCTACTAGCATCTGGTGTAAACCGTCCTATGTACTGAAGTAAATTTTATACCAATCAATAGAGTTTTTTATGAGCTATTAATCTATGTATAATTTACCAGGGGAAAAAGATGCGAATATTTTTGAACTTAAGAAAGTTTTGTTCAAATAGACAAAAAAAGGCGTTCAACGACTTCGATGTTCATAATCAATTTTTCAATCAAAAATAGATAACATATTTGAAATCAGCACAAAAAATGGCGGCAATTTATGCGAGTTTCAAAGTTTACTGATGGCTTTGATTTTCAAGTGGAAATTGAAGCTCTGGATTTCTCTCAGAATTACTGCCTCAAAAATAAGTTGAAAAATCAAAGTCATGAGAAATGTTTGAAATACACATAGAGATCGATGCCATTCTTTGTATTGATTGCAAAAACTACTATCTCGATTGAAATCGCTGTATTTCTACGTAAACAGATAATCAAAAATAAAATTGATTAATTTCCCTACAAATCATCACTTGTTCTTTATTTTATTTTTTTTAGCTTATTGAATTATTTGATTTAACTGATGAAGATATTCCAGGTTATATTCCAACAACTTCTTTACTTGAATGGCATTTAGAATTTCGTCATTGTGGTATACATTATCGGTATTTATTTATTATTTAATTTATATATTTTCTATATAAATTTTGATTTTAGACCATTATATTTTGATACAAAATGTTTTGTTGCTATTGATTCATTAACATTAACAAATACATTTGTTAAGAATAGTAAAACAACATTACTTGAGTAAAAGATATTATTATTGATTGTTAAATTTAGAAAAAGAAAGTTTTTTTTTTTTTTTCAATAGACTTAATTTAGATGATTGGGCAATTTATTTATCAAAACAAAAACGTGATCGATATAAAATTGATTTATTAAATGATTATATTTGTATTATAAGTGGTGGTGCATTTGAAATCAAATTATGTTTTAATGAACCAGTTGAAAATACACCAATAGTAAATAATAATAAAAAAACAATCTTTTGTTTTGTATTTTCTATGCAAATTTATTTTTATTTAGACTAATCCATTAGTTGATATTCGTATTGCATGTAATATGATACATATACGATCATGTTCAGATTCAGCAAATGCTCTAATTGAATTATTAAAATATGTTTTAACTGATGGTGATCTTCAACAACCAACAACAAATGAAACAAGTCGAAGTAGTACACCAATTGAAAGAAAACGAAATGATCGTCCTGTGCGAATATTAAATGATGATACAATGAATAATGAACAATTAACAATAGATGATGTAAAATATTAAAATTTAACAAAAAATTTTTTTTTTTTGTCATAATTTGAAACTTTTTTTTTTTTAGACATCAAATCAAATGTTATTAATTGAAGATGCTATGAAACCAATAGGTTAAAAATTAACAAAAAAAGTTTTTTTGTTTATTTAAATGAATTTTTAATTTTAAGGTTCAATAAATAATTCTGTTATGCAATCTGAAGATGATGAAAATATTTTATCAAATAGTCATTCATCAGATATTGAATGTGGTTCAGTATTTTCATCATCATCATATAGTAAAGATGATGATTCTCTATTTTCAAATAAACGACAAACAAAAAATCATGGAGAAAATAATGGAGGTTTTGAATTTATTGATCGTGAAATTGGAATGTGTCGTCCAGTATGTTGTTGTTTTTTTGTTTTCTTAAATTAAAAAAAAAAACCAAAACAATTTATTCTTTTAGCCTAAAAATGGTATATGTGAAGTTCATGTTTTAAGTGAAACACCAATACAAATTCATGAAAATCATTTTGCTAAACCATTAGAAAGAAATGATATATTGAATGCTCCAGCACATTTACCAGTTCCAACATTAAAATTTTCTATTCGACAAATTTCAATTGTTTGGCATATTTATGGTGGAAGTGATTTTGCAATACCAAAACCAAGTAATAAATATCTTCGTATTTTAATCTTACTAATAATGTTTTTTTTTTAAGATGATAGTCATGAACAACCGGTTCAATTAAATATTAATGAATCTGTTCGATTTACTTTAACATCAAATTCATCACCACCAACACAGTATGAAATATATATATATATATGTTTTTCTTTGTGTATTAAATTCTATTTTATATGAATTAGAGAAAAAGCTGGTGGTCGATTGTATAGTTCATATGATACAACACGCTTACCACGTCATGAACGTGGTGGACCTTGTAGAGATTTACGAACGAGTATGGAATTTTCAATAAGTAAAGCACGATGTCAATATGAAACATATAGTGAACAAGAAAAAGCTTCATCAAGATTTGTATTTGCTATACATGAATTTGAAATTCGTGATCGTTTATTAGCAAGATCAGAAATAAATAAATTTTTATATTTATATACAACTGAAGCAGCACCAAGACGAACACATGCTGATATGGTTTGAAAATATATAAAAAAAATTTTTTTTTCGATTTTCTTATTATTTATTGATAAATGTATATTTTTGTTTTTTTTTCATTTTAGTTAGTTGTAAAAATTCTTCATACAAAACCTGAAGGTTATATTATGAAAGCACCAAATGAAGAATTTGAAAATGAGATAGATTCAAAATCATCATCAGAACCACTTGAATGTGAAATAAAAGTATCATTACAACCATTGAGAATTAATATTGATCAAGTAAATAAAAAAAAAAAAATTTATTTCAATAAACTATTTTTGTATTAATATTTAGGATACACTTGTATTTATGAGAAATTTTTTTATTAATTTAACAAATAATCGAGAAACATCAACACCAATACCAGGTAAATTCATATAAGAGTTTCTACGATCAAAGGAAGAAAAAAAAACAGATAAATATGATGAAAATGAAATATCAATTGATCAACTATCATTATTATTGTTGAATTCTTTAAAGTTAAATATGTTTTAGTTATTGAACAAAATTCAAACAATATAAATAATGAATATCCATCATCATCATTGGATTCTGATCTTAGTACATCACCTTCATCACGTTATATATCATCATCATCATCACCAACATTAAATACACCAATAACTAATGATATATCACAATCATCAAATTCATCACCATCTGTATTTATAAAACATTTTGTTTTTTCACCAGCTTGTCATATACGTATTGATTATCATGGAAAATTACGTAGTGAACAATTATTTGAAGCAGGACCATTATTAAATTTACTTATTGGTTTAGCACAATTAGCTAAAGTTGATATTTATTTAAAACGTATATCATATAAAAGTGGTTTATTAGGTTATGAAAAATTATTCAAATTTTTATTAAATGAATGGTTAAATGATATACGTCCAACAGATGTTATTAAAGGTATTGTACCATTATCATCAATATCACAAATTGTTATTGGTATAAAAGATTTATTTTATTTACCAATTGATCAATATCGTCGTGATGGTCGAGTTTTTCTTGGTATACAACGTGGTGCATCATCATTTACAACAAGTACAGCATTAGCATTAATTGAATTAAGTAGTCAACTTGTACGTTGTGCACATTTAGCTGCATTATTATGTTTTGAACTTGTTTCATCATCAACAACATTACCAGATGGTTCAATATCTTCATTATCATCAACACAAACAATTATGGTACGAAATCGTCCACCACCAAATGATATACGTGAAGGTGTTACATATGCTGTTAATGTTATTCGACAAAGTTTTAATACAACATCACATCAATTAAAAACAGAAGCACAATTAGGACGAAGACGAAAAGGTATATTAGGTGTTGTTGGAGGTTTATTAAGACAAATGCCATCTGTTGCTATACAACCAATTGTAACAACAACAAAAGCTGCAGAAAATGTTCTTGTTGGAGTTCGAAATCAAATTGATCGTGATAAACGAAATGATGATAAAGAGAAATATCGAAGTGAATAAAGAGAAAAAAAAACTCAAAAAAGATATTGTTGCTATTCTTTCTGTCGTATTTTTTATATAAACTTGTATCTTTTGTAAATCCATTATTTTCATTGTCTTTTGCTGCTTACTTTTGAATCTTATCCTATTGGCAATGAGTGTTTGTAAAGACGTGTTTTTTTTTCTTTCATAAAAAAGAATTAAATAACAAAAAAAAAAAATTTTCTTCATATGAATACAATTTTATTTAGCATATTTCTAATGAGATGATTTAACAATTCAATAAATGAAGTGGTCCTTATTCCATTGGTTATATTATCCAGCATAGTGTGCCGATAGAAGATAACACAGCTAGACATTGAACTTTTTTAGCAGAAGCTACGCCAGAGTATCAAGATTGGAAGGTATAGAAAAAAAAATGTTTCATAAAGGTAATAAAAAATTCAAAAAATTTTGGTAATTTTATTAGATAATAATGAATAATTTTCAATTATTGGCAGTGTACATTCGAATATACTCTACTTTCGCGGTATCAGTTTTTTCAATGGTAGTAATAAAGATATCACTATTTTTAGAACAGGATCATTTCCACGTAAGATACTCACAAAAAACGACCAATATTTCTAGATTTTGATAATCAAAATCTAAAAATACTAACCGCTTTTCTTTTGGGAATTTTACGTGAAAGTGATTCTTCTCTAAAAGTAATGAATTTTTTTACTAACACTAAAAACTTCAAGATTTGGATTAAAAGCTTTCATATCATAACACTACCTGTGTCAAAAAAAATAATTACTAGGAGTATATGTACCATTTTCTTTGATTATGTTTTGCGAATTCGTGATTACTATAAAGACATTCTCTCTTCAGAAGTTCGAACCATAGCTATAAATACTATCACTTTTGTTTTGATAGACTGTATGAAATTGCACTGATAATAAAAATTTCACTTTCTAGCTGTGATTCATTGTAAAATTACAAGTTAAACAATCTTTCTGATGTACTAAAAAAATAAGTGCGTAACTGACGAGGAAAGACTCCCAACTGATCCATGTCGTTTTCAATGATTTTTTTTGTGCATATATTGGGGACATTATTCTAAGAAGAATCTTAAGATGGTTTGGGTTGATCGGGCTTCCTTCAAAGGTTAAGATCATTTTACTGATTTTTCCATCTAGCACACTGATAGTCTTTGAAATACTCTAAATGTTTTCTTTTGAAGAAAGCTCCATCAGTCCAAACTCGCTTACAATAATGTCTCTAACATATGGACAAAAAAAAAAGAATCATTGCAAACAGCGTGGATCAGTTGGAAATTTTCCTTTGTGAAAACTTTTTAATAATACACAGTACTCGTTACTCAAGTAATTGTTTAAGATGATTTTATTTTCTACTAGAAAATCTTCAGTAAAGATTTGATCATTATTCATGCAACTTTAAATATGATATAAGTCATAATACAATATTCGTTGAAAGTGATTCCTTGTTTTCTTCTACGACTAGAAAGATTCAAGTTCTGCTGCAGTCATCTCATATCATCAGCAGACTCATAATAACGGGTGGCCCATAAAGAATTGCCCTCATAGTATTTTTAATATTTCTCCTCTATTACCCTGTGATTCAAACACCTTTTTTTATCAAAAGATAGCGCTTGAAATTCTCTACAAAATCATATATGACTAGACCTTAAACCTGCTTTAGATATATCTGAAAAAAGATGAAAAATGAGACACACAAAAAGCGGTAAAAAGTAACGGGTTGTACATTAATGAATGGCCACGCTTAGCATCCTATGTTTTCATCACTTACTTCGCCCTATTAGATAAATAAAGTATATCAAAAGATGCAGCTTGAACAGCTCCACAATTTACACAAGATCTGCTATTTTATAGTCGCACTTTTTGTTTTCAAAATGGACAAAATTTTGGGCAATCGAATTTCGACCGTACGAAAATGATATTTTTTTTAGTACAAGATGAATTCCTTTTTTCTTATTTTCTCTTTTTTATAATTTGTTCTTTGTAAATTGTAGAGTTTTCCACGCCGCATCTTGTGGTGTTTTGTTTTTTTAAATAAAACATATCAGGTAATAAGAAGATAAAATAAGAAAAAACGAATTCATCTTGTACTAAAAAAAATATTATTTTCGCACGGTCCAAATTTGATCGCTCAAAATCTTGTCCATTTTGAAGACAAAAAGTGCAACTATAAAATAGGCGGTCTTATATAAATTGTAGATGTTTTCACGCTGCATCTCTTGGTTTATTTTGTTTTTTAATAGGACGAAGTGATGAAAACATTAGATACAAAGCGCGATCCTTCATTATGTACAATCCGTTATTTTTTACAGCTTTTTGTGTGTCTTCATTTTTCATCTTTTCTCAGATATATCTGAAATAGTTTTAAGGTCTAGTCATATGTGGTTTTGTAGAGAATTTCAAGGGCTATCTTTTGATAAAAAAAAGGTGTTTGAATCACAGGGATAATAGAGGAGAAATGTTAAAAACACTAAGAAGGCAATTCTTTATGGGCCACCCGTTAAATAAGAATAGTTAGAAGAAAAAAGTTTGCCAGGAGTACAAGCACTAATTCCTTTCTTTAATTCATAATATTTCATATAGAACTACATATTATGAGTAATATGAATTGAATGTATATTTATATGAATGAATTTTAAAAAGTATTCCTTAAGCAGATGTCCAACAAAGATATTTCATTTTTGAGAATTAAAACAATAAAATAAAATAAATATGTACAATGTAATGAAGTCAAATCGATAATAATAAAAGTGTTTATTTGTTAACCGAATAAGTTATCTATTAAATGTTCGAATATAATGTTGTATATATTTTACATCTATTATAGGATCCAATCATTTTCTTTTTAAACTCAACTGAAAAGATATTTATTTTGTAAACTATCATTTTCTCATGATGAATATATATGTATCGTTTTTCTTTTCAATGAAAAGAATCGTCGAAGCAAAGACTTGTAATTGTTTCTTCACTTATTCAGTCTGTCTGATATCATTATCGACAGTGTTCCTTTTTTTTTTCTTTCTTTTCTATTCAATTCCAATGAGACTACCTGTTGTGAGAAAGAGAGTCTTTATACATTCATTCTTTATATACATATAATGAGCATCGACATATATATACGCATATATTGTCATCAATGGTAAAATGATAAAATGCCAGTAAAGACGATTGTATACATTCTAATGATCAAATAATGATTGTGATAACCTGTTTTTCAATTCATCGTTGGAATGTCATATCACTTCTTTGCTATATGAATTTATGTGTTCTGCTTTTCATTCTTTTTTTTTTTTTTCGTCTTTCTTATATGTGAGAACGACGACGATGATGGCCATTAGTCAAATTATTCGCCGTCGATGGCACCCGGGTATCGATTGTTCCGTTCTCTCTCTCTTTTTTACCTGGTCATTAAATATTGCGGGCGGCAGATAAACGGCGACATTCTCAACACCCATGTCTTTATGATCTGCTATGACAGTTAGAAGGATGATGATTAAGCAAACAGAAGTGTTCTCTCTTTCTCTCTCTCTCTCTATTTCTTCAAAAAGCGAATATACATATATATATAAATGAATGAATGAATACAATAAGCAGGTAGACGACAAAATTGAAAGAGAATATACAAATGAGACTTTGATGATGGTACATAAATAAAACTACGACTAATCCAATCAGTTTAAAAAAAAAAAGAAAAGATTTTTTAAAACTATGTTATCTTTACTGTCTTCATCTTCAACAACAAAACAAAATCATCATCATCATCATCAATGTACAGAATGTCGAAAATCATTTGCCACTCATAGGTATTGATATGGAGTGTTTTTTATTTAAATAATATAAAAGAAAATTTTTTTGTAGTGGACTTAAACAACATATGCATATACATAAAACAATCAAACCATATACATGTGAAGTAAGTTTTAAACAATTTACTATTTAAAAATTAAATCTGTTTTTTTTTTCTTTTTGTTAATACAAAAAAGATTTGTTCAAAAGCTTATACTCAATCATCAAATTTATGTCGCCATAAACGTATTCATACTCGTGAAATAAAATGTCCAAATTGTTTAATAACATTTCCAAATGGACAATATTATGTTCGACATAAAAAAACTTGTTCAATTAATGATAATAATAATAATAATAATAATAATAATAATAATAATAATAATAAATTTAATGAAGAAAATAAATGTAAAGCTATTGGTGTTGCAGCTACACAAATGTATCATTCATTATCAAATAATACAACAAAAGATATTTTTGATTCATCAACACTTCCTCTTGAAGCATGGACAATTTTACATAAACAAATTTTACTACATTTTTATCAACAACAACAACAGCAACAACAACAACAACATGAACAAATAATGTGTGATACACCACTTGATTTAACAATACCAAAAAAAACATCAATTGAAGATGAATCAAATAGTAGTAGTATGATATCAGAAGATGATGATGATGATGATGATGATGAAAAACAACATATTGATCATCATCATCAACAACAAAATCGTTTAAATGGAAATAATTATTATGAATGTGAATTTTGTTCAAAACAATTTCCTCGTGCTGCAAATTTAACAAGACATTTAAGAAGTCATACAGGTGAACAACCTTATACATGTTTAATGTGTACAAGATCATTTAGTATATCATCAAATTTACAAGTATATTAATACCCATATTTGATTTTTTATTTAAAAAAAAAATTACTCTTTTTTTTTTTATATTAATTTAGAGACATATTCGAAGTATTCATCATAAAGAACGACCATATGGTTGTAATGAATGTGGGAAACGTTTTGGACAACAAACAAATCTTGATCGTAAGTTTTGTTTTTTTTAATAAAAATTTTATTCTTTCTTTTGTATTATAGGACATATGAAGAAACATATTATTAATATATCTCGTATTCGAGAATGATTCGTTTCGTTTTTTCTTTTTCATTGTGTTTTTCTCTTCTATATTAATCGAGTTGTTTAATATAAAAAAAAATCTGATGTTTTAGATCTCATCTTTGTTTCTTACAGTATACTGACATCTTTTTTAATCGAGTTCTTGTTTTTTTTTTTTTTTACTTATAATCACTTTTCGGTCATATTAATAAATATTGATTTTGAATTTTGAAATTGTACAACTAGAATGATTTATTATATCGAATGATAAACAAACGATAATTTTTTTGTTTATGAAAAAAATTAATATTTCAAAAAAAAAACATCACTTTTAGATGTTAATGACTATGGAATTAAACTTAATTCAACAAGAGAATGTATATTAGAGAAAGAAGAAGCAAATAGGAATTATCGTAGAAGTTTTGTTTCCAGAAAAGTTTTTGTTTCAGTGAAGTCATATAACAGAAGTAATAAAGAATATATAATCATTATTATTTTTCGTTTCTATGGTAATGTGATTCATTAGAATATGATAATTCATGTAATATATAGGAAATTATTCTCCTATTTAGGATATAAATGTTCTAATTAGAACATAATCATTACTTAAGGCAGAACTGACTTGACTATGGGTTATTGGGGGTTGTAAAAATTCCCAATAATTGAAATTTTTCCTATTTTTGCCAGTTAAAAGATTCAAAAATAAACATACAGTAGGGATTTTACAATATTTTTCCCTAAAATAAAAAACTAAATTATGTTTTACCCGAACATACTATAAACAAAAATTAAAACCTTTTCATTTCGCGAAAAACTAACAGTTGTACAACCGTAACTGATGCAAAAAATATCTGATCTTTAGTTTTGGAAACATGTTGAAATGTCTTTTTACGCGTAAAATACTTCGTTACTGAATAGTAGTTGCGAGAGTGACCGCCTTCGGCGGCAAAATTTGCTTCCCTATGCATCCTTTTTCTATTGATCTACTCTTTCATTCTTACATTCCAATATGTATATGCTCTCTTTTAATATGTACTTTCTTTATGCGATAATATAAACGAAATTGTAATGATATGCAGAAAAATATACAAAACAAGCGAGTAGAAATCGGTTGCTATATTAGATACGCTACATCGAGCAAACTTTTTTTTTATAATTCCTAAAGTTTGAGGAGTCGGACCACCTCTGATTTGATTCAAATAAAATTTATTAAAAGAATACTATACGAAAACTATTTTTTTATTGAAATATTTTAAAATTTCGTTATATAAAGTAAATTTGGAATAGAATTCATTTTAATTTTATTTATTCCAATAATTTGGATTTTGTTTATACCATTGAATAGTTTTATCAAGTCCTTCATCAAATGATACTTGTGCTTGCCATCCAAGAGTTTTTGCTGCTCCACTTGTTGTTGTTGAATATCGTTTATCAGTAAATGATCTCGGTTTATCATATATAATAATATCTTCTAATTTTTTATTTGGTTGAATTTTTTTTAAAAGTTTTTTAACAATATCAAGTACACTTAATTGATCTTTTGTTCCTATATTATAAATCATTTTTGTTTTTCCTTTATTAAAAATAATATCAATAGCATTAATAACATCATCAACATAAGTATAATTTCTTATTTGTTTTCCATCACCATGAATGACTAAATTTTTTTCATTCAATAAACTATTAATAAATATTGGAATACCTTTTTCAATATGTTGTCGTGGTCCATAAACATTACTTAAACGTATAATACAATAAGATAATTTAAAACTATCACCATAAGATTTAACAAGACATTCAGCTGCAGCTATTGTTGCTGCATATGGATTCATTGGATTAAGAAGACTTGTTTCTTGATAACTTCCAACTGGTGTTTCACCATAAACTTCATCAGTACTAATATGAATAAATTTTATTATTTTACCATATATACGAGTTGCTTCAAGAACTGAATGTGTTCCAAAAACATTACTTTCTGTAAATGTAATACTATTACCAAATGAATTATCAAGATGAGCTTGAACTAAATATAAAATAAACAAAAAAAAAAAATTTTTTTTTTCTGATTTTTAAATGAAAACAAATATTATTTTTATTTCTACCAGCAAAATGAAAAATATGTGTAATATTATATTGTTTCATTAAATGTAAGACAATATCTTTATTAGCAACATCTGCAACAATTAATGAATAATTTGATGATGTAGAATTTTGAATATTTTTTATATTCGAAACTGGATCAAGTCGATCAATATTAATTATTTTATCTTCGGGATATTTTTCAAGCCAATGATTAATAAATGTACTACCAATAAATCCACAACCACCAGTAACAAGAAGAATTCTTATTGCATTTTGATTACGATTAATTAATTTTTGTTGAAGATATTGTCCTATACTTTTTGATGCATTTGGTACGACAAAGGATGCTTGATAAAGATGACGTGTTTCAGGTGAAATCATTTCTTTATTCCATTTTTCAAATTGATCAATAAAATCATCAGTATCAATTATTTGTGGTATATTTATTTCACTTTCTGATTGATTAGAAATAAATTGTTCTAACCAATTCAATGATATTGTACCTTTATTACAAACATCTATTTGACCTTGTGCTTTACCATCATGTATTAATGCTAATAAAATAGGTAAAATATCAGAAAGAATAGTTATATGATGAGCTTGTTCAGGATCATGTTTCCATAATGAATTTAAACGTTTTAATAAAATTGTTTCATTTAAATCTTCATCAGTAATCGATGTATAAAGTTTTGCACTAGAAGAAAAAACAACAATAATAATTTATTATTGAAAAAAAAAAAGTCATTTCAACATACTGAATCACATTTGAAAAAAGATTAATCAATTCATCTTTTGCATTTTGAACAACATTAATTGATGATATTGAATCTGTATTATTAATATCAGTTGTAAATGTTAATAAAAGTATAGGTATAGAAGAATGTAGATGCATGGTTGCTTGACCAACATATATAGGAATAAGTAGATGATCAGTAAGTATTTCATAAAGAGTACAATTATTTTCAAAATTTCTTTCATTATCAATAACAATAATACGATCTGGTTTATGTTTCTTAATTTTTTCTTTTATATTTTGTAATGATAAATTTCCATGATGATGATTATGAATAATTACTTGACCAACAATTTGTAATAAATCATCACATTGTTTTACAATTGCATTCAATTCATAACTAAAGAGTAACCAACGCATTTTTTTTGATTTTTTAATTAACTGTGTTAGAGTATCAATGAACTATGTAGTTGCTTGTTCCGTTATTTTTTGTCTCATATACGTCTGTATTTGGTTGTCTTCTGCTTACAAAGTAAGAAACCAGTCGTATAGTAAATGAAAGAACGGGAAAGAAAAGGTGTCATTGAAAAAAAAAAAGAACATTTCACATCATGTTCTTTTTTTTTTTCTCAATTACAGCTATATTCTTTAACATAAGGACAACC